AAGTCAAACAGTTTTTGTACGTACCTGGCTACCAGCACAGGATGTGCCTTTATTCGCGGTGCAACCAGACAGGAGGTAATTCCTCATGAAAAAAGATAAGTCTAAAAGTGAAAAGAAAATTTCTTTCGTACGGGGCTTCGTTTTCGAGAAAATCGAGTTTAAAAATTGATCGGTTACGCGTACAGTGGGGAGTCGAACATTGGTGCAAGTAGAAATAGCGAGTAATGGACAGACGCGCCAGGCCAAATCATATTCAGTCTCACGCGTATCCGACGAATTTTCAAATTGTCTCGAAAACGAGGCATCGCACGATAAAACTATATTCTACATTTCCGACTAGTAATTCAGTCGTATCATAAATAACGACACACCCAATAAATATTTCATTTCTACATTATAAATAACTTCTAAATTTACTTTAAATACTGCAGTGATTTATTACTCTTGTCTTAATTTACTAGAAAGGTATATTATACATTGTTTAACAGCATTTTTTTCATCTACATATATGCAATGTAATTGTACTTTATAATATGAGCACACTATTACGTAGCTGTCATTTATATTTTTCTGTACTGACCTATATTAAAGAAAGGGGGGCAGATATTTTAGAAGAGTTTCGATCGTTGCTCTGATAGAAAAAGCTGTCTGCGTCGGTTTGTTAATAAGACAAATAAATAATGTTGCCAAAACGAAAAAGACTGTAAGCACATTTATACACTAATGAAATTTTAAATTAATTCAATTTTAAAATACATAAAACGCCTTTATTATATAAATTTACTTGCAGGTCCTACGAGTACTCAAACTTAGATCAGATTAGGGTTGAGATTACTCTTCTCTGAATCTGAAGGAATGCACGAAGACGATACTAAAAATTCTTGTTTCGATTTAGATGTTTCTCTTCAAATTAATAAACGAAACACGAGTATTGAAGATAATGGTAGCATTGACCTCTTCAATGAGCTGATAATACATATAGTAGAACTTTGAGCAGTGGGATTACAGCCCTGTTAAAATACCTGTCCTACATTCCGATATGAATTAAGAAAACATAATACTTTCGATCCGTATTGTACATGAATATTTTGCATTGTTTTAAGCAAATTTTCAAAGAAAAATAAAACTATTTTTACTTTATTTTACGCAAACAGTAAAGCGTAAAAATAGTTAATACAATTTTAGTTTAATTATAACGACTCCTTTTGTCTCGGCTTTGTCACAGTCCTGTCGACACGACGCGTTACCATTGACACCGCGCTACTTGACAGCGGCTACTCAGTTACCCTAACCTCTCGAAACAAATGACAGTAAAACCGGTACCATCCATATTCTGTCAACGATAACGTAATCATTCAAGCCTTCAAAAGCAATAAATTATTTCGCTTGCTCTTGCACAAATAAGTAGAACGAAATTCGAGATTTTGTAAATGAGCACAAAAATGATCAAATTAATTTTAATTCGATACCGCTATAAGAATCATTTACACCCGTATATTAAAATTCTACCAAAGCAGAATCAAAGCTTACGTCTAAAATTTCTTCGAAGAAAGAGATCACGTAATTAACGAAATCGTTATTCGTGGGGTGTTTACCTTTAAATCTTCTGCGTTCGGGTACCCTTAGAGACGGCTCGTCACACACCTGTTTAAATTTCCGTAACGGTTAATTATCCGTTTCTGCGCAACACGAACGCGCCTACACTGTCGCAGCGATTCGACGGTGAATCGCTATCGAGATCTCGATCTTCGACACAACGGCACAACGATCCTTTATTTACGCGTAACGACACTGTCGGTCGCGGCGCGAAATCGGCCGCGGTTCGAAACGCCCCACTTCGACATCGTCGCACGGTCACGTCGTTGAATATCGGCCGACGAAAAGGAAACACAATGGGAAGAGAGAAAGAACGGGGACAGGTATAAACGTACGAACGACGGTTCGAGAAACACCGCGACACTGACGGTTCGAGGTCGTCACGACGACTGGCGGAATCGTCGGCAGAGAGCGACACGACAGCCCCCGGCCGGGTCAACGCATGCGCCCTTCGCACCCCGTGCCCAACCCTATTTACCCAAGACCTCCCTCGCGATCAAGCGTGGCTCCAACTATCTGGCTCGCGATTCTCCAACGTTTTAATATCAAAGTGTCTTCGCGACGATATTTTCCAAACGAAAATGTTCTTCCCTCATCCCCGCGACCACCCATCTTTCTTCGTGTCTACGATCCGGGGTAATCATTGCTTTCGCGTCGACGTATACATTGATAATGACACGATCGATTTACTAGGTTAGCGCTCGCGAAACGTCGCCGTTTCTTCGATTGACTGTCAATGACACCGTAACTTCTTCGATCGTTTTAACGTACCATTTAATTACGCTTCACAAACGTACGCTACTCGAGTTTGTTTAAATTTAATATCTCGTCAATAGTTGAAGTATATTGATTCGAGTGTGTGACGAGCGTAGCCTCGTCAACGTGAAACTTGCCATGAAGGAATTATGACGAATCAGACTCGTTGTTGTATGGCAAGGGGTTTAACCCTTATGTCGATTAATCTTCCCGTAATATCGTAAAGTCGCTTTGGATCCTTGTTTGAACAATTCTACAACGATTTATAGGAAAATGGAAAAATGGAGAAACTGTCGAGTACAAGGACTTCAAATATTTTTATACGTTTGTTCGATTAGAGGAATACCGAGTATAACGATGGTTGCAGTTGAGTCTATTATAAACAATGGCAAAAGAACGTTTTATCAGTTAATTGTAAAAGAATATAAAATGTTTGATAAAAACTATTTGCTTGCTTTCGATGGAAGGCAATTATATCTTATAAATATATTTGCTCCTCGTTAATTAATCGTTGACAATGACTTTCTCCTTTTTCATTTGCATTTCGTTATAGCCATAGGAAGTATTGAATATTGTATGGAACATAGTAACTTCTGTTTCGCACACTTTCGATTACTAATTCTGTAGAAAGATGTCTCGTTATTCGTACGATTGGGAAGCTATAATATACGGTCGTTATTTGTCTTTCTTCTTGTAAATTTAAGTTTAACATTTACATTATATGTATAACTATTTTATCGCAACTCTTAAGCCCCATTTTTTTCATGACTTTCATTCATATTTGTGATACATATAAAAATGACTACAATGTGTATCTCCATAAAAGAGAATTTACTTCTTTTCATTATGGATAACATATGTAAAGTGTCATCATATAACAGGTATGTATTTACGAGAGAATAATGACAATTGACTGAAATGTCACGACGATTTAATTATGGACGGGCCTTTAATAAATTTTGCACCTTGCAAAGCACACACATCAGAACATTGATCCAGAGCGTCTACTATTCGAGAACTACAAACGCAATACTCCACGAGTAAGACCTACTCAACTTTAACAGCAGTCGATAAATATTATAAATAATAATCTGTGACATCACAGACGACGTATACTAGTAGACCTTTCACCTAAATGTATTTTTTCGGCCAGTTTCTCTGGGGGCTCGAGACCCCATTACCATTTCCGTGTCACTCGCAACGTTACCAACAGATTTAGAAATGAACACAGGAGGAAGTGAGACAGAAAATGAAATTACAGAAATTGTAAGGTGACCGGTCTATTCGTATACCTCGTGTGTATTTCGCATAGCATCAAAAGAAAAACGGTAGCTTGGAATGTTTATTGTATTTCTTTTACAATCGCGATTCCTACCTGGGGTAACCTCGACGAGAATTCCTTTTCTCGAAAATGCGTAGGATTTCAAGGATATGTCAGACAAATTCTTTTGAGAACTCTTTGAACTCTCTTTGTTGGTTGTGCATCTTTCATTTGTTGCACTTTCGTTTGTTTCTTTTTCGACCAACGATCGTTGGTCACGGAAGATCTTTGTCACAAATCCTCTATTTTTTATTTTAAATTTTATTTTACGCCGACTAAGCTAAATCGACTGATAAGGACTACGGAACATTGCATATACGTATATCGTATATAAATATTTATTATGTTGTCGTAGATAAAATAGAATGTGCATACGTTTATTTGAAAAGTTACTCACGCGTATTCCATAAAATGTGTAATATGGTCATTCTATACGCAAATGCATGCAATGGTATGAACAGTTGTGACATAAAAGTGATAACAAATGAAAATTTCATACAGTTACTGTCACGAATAATAATATGATAATATAGAAGATCAATTAATTTGTAGACTCTTTATTTTATTTAAAAATATTTCAGCAATTAGTTTGCTTCATAAACATTATTATGTCGCAATTTTTTATAGTTTAATTGTACCCCTATTTATGTATTAATATCTATACTAAAAATCATTCATTACACTAGAAAAAAGGAATGGCTATCGCCCGTGCTTAGAAAAAGAATTATTTTCCACCGCGATAACGTATGTATAACGACGAGACAAAAATTATTGCTTGATTAAGGCCTTTTATCTCGACCATTATATTCGCCTTGCCTTATCTGAGATTTATCGATTTCGTATATTGAAAAATTAAATTACCTAAAAATTGGTAGAAGATCATAAAATAAAATGACAGATATATTACTGATCAAGTAAGTTCTGTATAAAATTGGTGGTAAACAATAATACAGCGCACGTTCACGTATCTCACACAAGGAATATATAAAACGTAACTAATCTTTACAGAAAGTAATCAATACTCGACATAGTAGCATAAAGTAAAAGTTTTGAAATATGTTTCAGAAAGGTGAGTTTAATTCAGTTTCTCAGATACGTTGTGCAATCTTTGTTAGTGGTTCTTTTGGTTTTTAACAAAGACGTGTCTGTGTAGAAATGTTTGGAGTATTATACTTTAAATGTTAGAAAATAATAGTATAGAATGAATCTTCTTTATAGACGCATAATCGAGTTTTGCTAAAGGTATTCGGTCGGATTGCCGTCAGATGGCTATTTATGTTCCCTGTTGCATACGTCTAGCGTCCAGTGAACATACGCGTGGCGTTGGGTGAACGTGATAGATTTGGTATGGCACGTATACCTGCCTTTGATCGCTAATTACTTCAAATTATATTATGAATCGTGATTTTAATTTTCAATTGAAAACAATCTGAATGAAATAAAGCTTGGACGTGAAAGTCTGATGCCTGTGACGTTTAAAAATGATGCATTTACAACATGACATTGCCTGTTGCATTTCTGTTTTATTTATTTTAAGTTTTGCTAACGCCAATTACCAAGATTTTTCTAATTTCGAGGTAAATGAAAACCTTAGACGTATCAATTAAATTACAATCTAAAAATTACTTGTATATGACATAGAGAATTAATAGATTTTAATTATCTGTTAAAATCTGCCTGAATGATAGGATGAATAATATAATTGTTGTTACAGAATGTAGGACCACGCAATAGGGATGACGAATTCAGCGATGATAATGAGAATCCAATACCTTCATTACATGACAATGGGCATATATCACAAAATGCAGTGGATTCTGAGGTACATTCTGTGGATGTGTTAGACAAAAGTATGTAAGAATACTAGATTCTATAGAGAATGTACTTGAATGTATAAGCTTCATCTATTAATGTAAAGATATTAATACAAGTATATGAATATCTTTGTTCTTTTAATATATAGATATCGTATGGGATTCCCACTGGGCTAGTAATTTGAAATTTGGTCAGATATCAGCAGTGTCTATAGATCCAAATGGTAACATAGGAATATTTCACAGAGGTTCAAGAAAATGGGATCAAACTACATTCGATATAAATAATAGATTTAATCCAGATAAGGGGTCGATTCAAGAGAACACTGTAATTCTTTTGGATAAGTCTGGAAAGAAACTGTTAGAATGGGGTGCAAACATGTTTTATTTACCACACGGTTTAACGATTGATTCGTATGGAAATTATTGGATAACTGATGTTGCCTTACATCAGGTTTTTAAATACGATGCTAAAGACATAGCAATGATGAAAAATATGGCAAAATTGAAGAAAAGACAATATAACCAGGAAACAATGTTCCTTGATAATCATAGATTTAATAGTGGGCTAGAAAGTCAAGCTCTTAAGCCATCACTCGCTCTTGGAGATGCTTTTGAGCCTGGAAACAATGAAAGACGATTTTGTAAACCAACAGCAGTTGCTGTACAGAATAATGGTGATTTTTTTGTTAGCGATGGTTATTGCAATTATAGAATCATTAAGTTTAATGCAAAAGGGGAAAGAATTTTACATTGGGGCAGATATTGGAACGGACAAGGTATGCTTGTATTTGTTACGCATTAACAAAGATATCTTAATTTACTAGACTTTATATCCCCAAGTTATGTGCCATTTGGTTCTCCCTTATATTATTTTAAAATTTATGAACGACTTAATTAATAATATAGTACTATAAATTAAGGCACAATATTATTAATGTATTTTAAATTATAGGAAGCATGTATGCACAAAGTCCACCAGTGAATGCATTTTCAACACCACATGCTTTAGCTCTTGCTCCAGAATACAACTTAATTTTTGTTGCTGATAGAGAAAATGGTAGAGTTCTATCTTTCTCCGCGAATAATGGAACATTCCAGAAAGAATATAAGCATCCTACAATTGGTACAAAGATTTACAGCGTGGCTTATGCTAAAGATAAGCTTTATTTGATCAATAGTTCGGAAGGAATTGATAAAGTGCATGCACAAGGCTTTGTTCTTGATGTAAATTCAGGAAATATACTATCCATATTTGAACCAAATCATAATATGGAGAGACCTCATGATATAGCTGTGACTGAAAATGGGTCTGAAATATATATAGTGGATTTGGACTATCACACTGTATTCAGATTTTTGCAAGGTAGGCATTGATAAATAGTTGTAACTCGTTAGAATAAAATATATGGCTACAATAATTATATCAATCATATTATAAATTTGTTCGATCGGACTTGCTTGTAGCAAGATAAAAACACGTAACTAAGAATCTTCGACTATTCATCTATTGTTTTGGCAGGTATAAATGCTTCGATGCAAACTGGTAATTTAGTGATGAAAAATGCTCGTCATGAACTCGCACCTTTAACGGACAGTAACTCTAACAATCCTTCTACTGGAGGTACTACAACAGCAACATTAGTCTTATCCCTTGTTACAGCAGCAGTCATTTTTATTGCCTTCTGTGTAACAATTGCTGCAGTTGTAGCAAGATGTCAAAAAAGAGGTAGATTGTTTCAGTATGATGAATCTGCTGTCGAATTCTCAAAACTAGTCAAATAAGAGTATTCGTTTGACTAATTTTGAGTTGATAAGTAATAGCTGTGCACGCATGTCGATTAGTTTAGTCGAAATTCAGCGTTTGGTAGTAACTTTGTCAGATGTAGTTAATCTTATTGATCTATCATACGCTATTTAACAAAGTGTGACTTCCTAAATAACGAATAAGAAATGGAAGGATGAATGATATTTCGAAACTTTAGATACCGGTCATTTTTTATATAATTTCTGTAATAATTATTAACCTTTTTACTAAAAACAAAATTTTACAAGCTTTTGTACTGGCTTTGCACGTTATTTCATGCACTTTAATGCTGTTTTATCACGTAACAAAAGACATAATATATACATATATAAAATAACTACATGATTATATTTATTTTTGAAGCAAGCAACTAATCTTGAAGAAGTATTTATGAAAGCTATTTTAAAATAAAGCCAGTACACGAGGATTGTATATAAATGTGCATCAAATATGGTTAAAAGGTTGAATATTATTTTGATTATTTTTATTTCGATCACGTTTATATGATTTTTTAATATTGAGATTAATATTTATTTTCCCTATTTTACATGGAGAAATGTTTTAAGTTTTTATACTCTACCAAGAGATTTGATTAGATCATTTGTTCGTGAAGTATGAACGTAAATGTCGCCCTAACTAACATATTTATTCTCGCTTGACAACAATTCAAATAGCAGAATATTTAATAATTTATATACCTATTATGTAAATATTGTTTACAATTTTCTGTGATCGCACAATTGTAAAAATATACTTTATTTATAGTCTTATTTTTGAACTTTGTATTGTATACAAAACTGAAGTACTTCGCAACTAAACTCGGATTTTCCTCCAGATTTTTTACATAATTTTTCGCATGTACTCAGTTTGAAACGTAATATTTTTTATGTTCTACTGCTTGTATAATAATTGATCGTTTATTTATTTTACATGTTCATATCTTGTAAACGAAAATATACGTGTTTTCATTTCAACGGTGTTTTCGGTTATTGCCCCGCGTATTATCCTATTTAGCTTTTAACAACGATCATGTAAGTATTAAATATTATAGTGCACGATGCTTAGAATTACATAGCAGCTAGGTTTAACGTCATTTTACGCAGTTACGTCTTTGCAATGCATTTTGTTTTGTTACCATTAAAAATTAAGGATAAAAATGATAATGGTAAACAAGTCGTTATCGTTGCCAAGTACGAGTGAATTTGAAACCAAGGATGAATACATTCAAATGATTTTATAATTTAAATACATCTAAAGTATTGAATCTACATATTCAATGTTCAAAACAGTTGTATTTAGTGGTGATCAAAGTAAAGTTACTACAGAATTTATAAATTCATGAATTTTATATGGATAATTAAATTTGTAAAAATTTAATCTATATAAATAATCTATACGTTGTTTAAAAGAATGAAATCTGTAACTTTATAAAAAGTATATAAAGGTTATAAATTTATAATCAAATTGATATTACTATGAAGTTATATATTGCTATTAATATTTAAGGAGCAAACATTTAGCTGATTCGACTTCCGAATACAACGTACGAATATTTTTAAGGTGTTCGTCATTCGAATACTCTTTTAAAGTTCATTTTGACCATCCATGTTTGAAATTCGAAATTTTCTACGAAAGATTTTCTAATACCAATTATTTTTACGAACAGGATGCTTATTAATAATGCGAAAAAGAATGCGCTGGGAAGCTGAGAGGCGAGAAAATTTTAAACTATCGAGTCTTTTGGATGGCAGAAGGAGCAAGAGCTTCAAGATATTGGAGAAACGGCCGAACCCAAGAGATTTCAAAAAATTGAACACAGAACCAGAAACATCGGAGGACGAACATCCGGAGAATAGTTTTACGAGGGTTATTTAATGGGATCGATCATTTTTGACATGTTAAGCGTACAATTTTAAAAGTTTTACCTTAAACTCCAATCAGTCAATCTGCTTTTCCGTTTAACCTGACGACCGTTGCTTGCAAATTCAAACGTGGGACGCCATCACTTACTAACTTCACATCTGTATGTTCAAATTGCGAGGTTCTTTGACGTACGCCTCACGATTGTTGCCTTCTAACACAAAAACTATCATGTATCATTCGTTCAATTAAGTATCTGTAGTTATTTTAATTAATGGGAATCAATGTAATTGCATAAATTTACCTGTATTATTCGGAGAAAGAAGCACTGATATCGTCGGTTTCAATTTTGCCATGGACTGGCACGAACTCGTGCGCTTGCGCACTAACCGACTAACCAACCTCAATTAGACACTTGAATCGTCTACCGCGCGGTAAAATTTAAATTTAACACGTTCGCTATGGTAACTTTGTTCATGGATTTTTCATTTTACTCAAGAATTTTATATTTAGCGGTATGGATTAAATACGCACATAGACTTTTCAGTTATTCGCTGTAAATTTCGATAAAAATAGTATTTATAACGATATTTATAATTGTTTGCAATTTAAAACTTTAAACACCATGTTTTCTCGGTGTTCGCTTAATTTTATCTGTTTTCAATTGGTTACTTCGTTCATTAAAACCAATTTATGTATACAGTAATGTTAATATTAATTTCAATTATTCATTGAATATAGATAATAACCATTTCTGCTACTTATCTATTTAATTGTATGTCTAATTGATTGTTTGGTACCACAGTGAACGTGTAAATCAATTCAATTTTACACAAAATACTACTATTGTATGTTTAAAATAATACCTAAAGCCGGAAAAGTATTGAAATGTTTTTCTTGTTGTTGAGAGACGAAATGTACTCAAATACAATATACGATATATGTGTGTATTTAAAAATAATAACTAAGATCGATATGCATTTGCGATTATTCGAGTATCGAATGTGGAGATAATCGCGTGCGCGTGTGCTTTTTAGTATTCGTTATCATGATACTAATAACAATTTTGAAAAACTGCCAATCACTTCTAGTTGTTTTTCTAATAATTATCCATTCATCGGGAAAATATTTAATCAGAAAAATTTATGTGCTTTAAGATTAAAAGTATAACATTGAATTCTTTGATGTTAAAGTCACACAAGTAAAAGTTGAAATTTGGTTGAGAAAATATTAATATATTTTAACACATTTTGTAATCATTTTTTATTTGTACGTCTTGTGTTATATCAAGTAATTTATTTTTCAATGATGTCGGTGTCAGCGTAAATTAATAATCGATATACTGTAAAAGAAAAATACAAAATATCCTGTTAGTTGAAAACATTAAATAAGATGATAATATCGATATATCTAATATATGTTTAAAATTTCAAAGAGATAACTTTAAGGACACTTGTTTCAAAATATTATAACTTACCTGATAATAATGGCCTTGCAAATGATACTTGGAAAGTGACCAAACTTGTGCTATATGTATAGTATACTATTTGTCAATATCTGTTTACAAATTATATTATGTAATTATATATTGTAAATCATTGACATATCCCTTTAGAGATACAAAGAAAAGAACTACAAAATCTATACTTGGTCTCGAACATAATCATACCTTTATCGTTACGATAATATATACACTTGATGCTCCTCACTTCAAGCTTTAAAGATTTAGCATTCGTACGAATGTGTTCGATGAAAACAGTATTTAAATAGTACCTGATGTTGAATTATGTAAGTTCGAATGCATTTTATTCTTCGATGTACATATCTGTTACTTATTTTCGCTCTTCCATCGACTCTTGTGTCCTCATTTTACATCAAAACGATGTCAGTCTATAAGTTAACGTACTTGATTCGTTTATTTTCGAATATTCTGCTACTACTTATATGTGTATTGCCATAAACATGGTATATTTACCCGTGAACATGGAAATGTATATTTTCAAATAAAAATGCGTGTTTGTACTACCGTAAGCATTCAACCGAGACTTTTTATGCGTTCTTCCGGTTGTCGGTGTCGATCAAACCGTTTGGTAATCTATGAGGGGTTTGACTTTTTGATAATGATTTATTTTACACACTTAGTTGTCCTCTATACACAACTATACAACGATAAAAATTAAAATTTTTCTATTTATCACTAATTAAGGTCATCGACGATAATGATCCGTGTTAAAGATACGATAATGTCAGTCCATTCTTTCGTGACACATTCTATCAAGTATGCTTTTCGTTTAATCGGAAACGTACGGGCCCGAAAAGAACGTTCGCGCGGATTATGCGAATGGGGCTGGATCGACGGGATCGTTGTGTCGTCGCGTACGTACGATTCGAGCGATTAAATTCGATCGTCGGCAAACACGACACCTCGCAAGATAATCGATCTTTTAAATGATTTCTATCCGTCCACGCCGGACGATAAATAAATAATTATTATCCTTCGCGCATCCGACGAGAAGTGCGACGCAATTTCGAGGGACGCCTGTGTGTCGTCGTGTTTTACGGGTGTCCGAGCTTATTTAAATATGTATAAAATTGTGCAAGTCAGTAGCGTAGAAAATATGCATCGCGGGAACAATAGAAAGGGAATGAAAGAACGAAGAGCAACCGAGGAGCATGGAATCAAGAGTCGGTTCGAGTACAAATCGTTTCATCCCGAACAGAAATCGCAACCAGCGGGATGAAATATTCCGGGAAAACACATCGTCACCTCGCGGCTATATTATTATTTTTTTTTTTTTTTTGTACATTAAAAATCGTATACGTTTCGTAGTAATACACTGACAATTGCATATCGTTAATTCCATATTTTATCACTAACTGTTACCTAAAACTACCGTAAATTCGTAACTAGAATAATCGACGTATCGTCGTGTACCACGCCGGACCGCTACTGTTATCGCGGTTGGAGTTTCTTGCGATATCGTGTGTACAGCTCGTCGCTGTTAGGGGACAGAAAAGAAAATAAACAGAAAAAGGAACACTGGAACAGCGGGACCCAAAATATCACAATGTCCAAGTATACTCGCGTTCGTTCGACCGTTAATGAGAGATGTTCGCTTACGATATTCGATTATTATTAATGTTAGACGTATACTCTATTTACAAAACTTACGCCTCGGTGTACAACAACAGAACAATCTATATTTATAGCGTCCTAGAAGAGGTTACTTACGAATGCAATATACGGAGCTGCTAACTTGCATTTTAATTACACAAAGTACTGTTCCGTTCATGCAAGACGCGACCGGTACGTATGTACGCTCGCTTGCCTTCTCGAAGCGAGTTGATATTCCTCGTTTCAACACACGCCCCAATTATAGTTCACTTTTCGTCGCCCCGAGAATCGATCCAGTTTAGGTGCTCTAAGTACAAAGCCGAACAAAGAAAGACTAGCTTCTTTTCGCGATTTAACTTATACGACTTGTCGTTTACAGTTATTAAAGCTCAGTACGATCGTTGAACAGTTATTCCGCTTGAACGAGGATCAAGATGATTCAGAACGGGTTCGCGTTTTATACATTATAAAGGTTCGTTTATACCATCGACGAGCAGATCGATTACACTGTCTATGCACGTAGTAGATAGTGTTTTGTTATTGTTTTCATCCAACGTGTCGACATATTTTTCAGTTTCTATATAAAGATTTAGTCATGATAGAAAACAGGATGTCCATCCAATATTTTTTTCATATATTCATCCTATATTTTGTAACATTGTGTTCTCTCACCAATTCTATCAATTTTTCGTTAACATTAGGTTTTATATCTATATATTAATGAATAATTAGAAGTAACGATAAAAAGAACTATCGATACCCGTTTCAACGATGTAATTGTTCTGCTCGGCTCGTCGATGGTATAAACGGACCTTAAAATAGGTGAATGGAAAGAGCCATAAGCAGAACTGAATCGAAGTTTTCCAGAATCGATGTGAATACGAATCGTGTACGTAATGTTACCAAAAATAGCCGTGTAAAAGCAACTGGCCGTCTCGTCGTATGCAAAACTTAATAATATTAATCGTAATCTATAATATCTGACACGCCAATTTTTTCCTATATTTACAATGCCATACATAATACTATATTAACTTGTCGTATACTTTTCGTTACACCGTGCCGCGACGTGTGGATTCGTTATTTGAACGCAGGTTTTGCGCTCGAATCATTCGTTTAGACTTCGGTTAAATAAAGCTCGCAGTTGTCGTCTGTCGTTACAGAGAAAAATTAGATATAATACAAAACATTAACAGGTAATTATACTTGCACCTCATGCACGATTAATACACCAGACAAGTGGACGAAATAAGGGCGAAGTTCATATCGCGTGAAAAGAACTTGTCCATGTCATAGTCAAGCTCTTTCGCGCGGTCTGTTAATTAAATTAATCGTTTCGCTGTATCGGTGAAGCAATTACGTCGGCACTTTTAATCTTCATTATTATGAGGTAACATCAGCATTTTTTAACGATTCAACCATTTTCTTCTAATTTCATTTAGAAACAAGGAATGTACAAAGCAGTAAATATGTTTATATCAATGTGTGTTGTAAAAAGTACAGCAAGTTATCAGTCATAGATGACCATAAATCAACACTTTTTTCCATGGAGACGGTATATTAAAATATTTAATGTCAATGAAACTAGAAACGAATAGTTGTATGTACTAAATTATTTAGTGTCAATGAAACTGGAATTAAATAATTCAGTATTTACAGTTACATATTTTCATTTTCATGGACACTCGTTTAAGAAAGGAAATGTTGACGTTGTCTGTGAATAATAATTATTTACTTTCTTGTACATTCCCTTTCACTTTTTACCGCATTGGTATTCGGTCTTCGGTCCGAGAATAAAATAGTTGAAAAGTTATAAATGTTCGGGATGGCTTTACCTCACGATAAATTATATACACCATGCAATAATTCAAATTTTTGTTTTGTATCTTCGATCGAAATATTACGAATACATGGACCGTAGCAAATCGTCCGACAAAATTAGTGCATTTATACGTTACCGTAAAAGTGGAAGGATAGCGAATGTTTACACTTACTAGCGAGTGTTTATCTTTACTAATTTCACTAATAAGTGTGTACTTTCACTGCTCTGTAATTAATGTTGTTCATTCTGAACATTCACTCCTTTCTATATTCAGGATTGTTGTGTTAACGTTATGATATTCGCATTATGATTATCATTGTACGTGAGAATTGAAATAGTAAATCTTGGTGGATTATTTTCTAAATGGTTGTATTTTCAGTGCCCGTTATTAATAAACAAAAACAATTTAGACCATTGCGTACAAAAAGTAAAGTAGCAAACGCTAGTAGATAAATGATCGTTTAAAACAACATTCACATACGAGACGAATGAAGGTGTACAATCACTGAAACTTCCACATTCACGATGAAGTATATACCAAGTAACCATCGCGTCTTCTCAGCGTTGCACAGCTTTGATGTGACACGAATCCTTTTGAAGGTGTTATCATTCGCGCGTTCGGCTTCCTCGGTTTGCTTTATTTTCAGTGAAAAAGTTTACTTTAATTTTCTGGATACTTGGACTTCATGATCGTATACATCGTCGAAGGAAAAAACGTACTCCGTTCTTGCTAATAGCAACCGAGAACCACTTAAGATGAAAATCTCAGCCTCCGGAGCCAAGAGTACGTCTTCCATTATGAATACAGAAATCGACAAGAATTCGTTGTTGCTGCAGCATCCTTTATCTTTCCCAGAGCTTAGTCAGCCGCTATGCTTGTAAATCGTGTTTCCGGTTTTGATACTATTTCGAACGGAAACCAGATGGATTCTGGTTTCTCGTTAGATTCTAATTGGATGATGCCAATTGCTTCGATCCACGATACCGATACGTCTCGTCTACCGTCTTCCCCTGTTTCTTGAACCGTAACCGAACCCCGGTACCAACACGGAGACACCCCCGACGGACAAAATCTCGTGCCACGACGCTGCCCATCGTTGAAATCGCTGAAAACGGAAGCCGTGCAATCCGGTGTCGCGAACGTAAATGCATGCTTCTCGAGCGACGAACCCGAGCCGAAGGGACTCTATCGTCAACAGTGTCTTCCTCTCTCGTCACGCGTTACTTCGACTCGCTACCCTGCACATTGACCGCTCGGAACCGCTGTCCACGGAGGGGACCACGTCCCTCCGAACTGTTTCCCCGACAGAACTTTATCGTAGAGTCAATACCGGGCGTAATCCGAAGCACCTCAGTAAACGGAATTGTACTGCATGTTGTCGGCGTACTGCGGTTGCCCTGCAGGCGGCGGCGGTTGTGGACTGTACTGCAGCGACGTGTCCGAGGCGCGACGCCTGAGCGCCGCGACGCTGTGGGCGCCTCTCCAATCCGATGCTTCGGTCGCGTTTACATCGGCGGCCACGCAGGAAACACCGCCGCCGCCGCCTCCGCTGCCGGGAGTCGTCCCCGGCGATCCCTGGCCGCAGTTCAAGGCCGAGCCTAACCCGCCACCCTGACCCACGCTCGATCCACCCGGTGGGGAGCCCCGGGACGCCGTCACGTGCACACCTCCTGGAAAACAAGTTCAAACCAGGCTAGACCGATGACGGTTGTAACGCTTCAACTTTCGAACAAGATTACATACGTACGTAAAAACTGTTGCACTTACACGGTAGTGCTTCTATGAACATGTTACCTATTTATCTGGGATTATTGCCTCACAGCTATTTTGTAATATGACAACGAATATCCGAGTTATTAAATAGGAATGGCAAACGGAGAAACGCAACATGGAGATGATACAGTGCGTATAGTTAATATACCAACCCCTTAAAATGTGAGGAATTTGATCTTTTGGAAATAAATTGATACAATAGTACTTTCTATTCCTAGATGGTACTATAAAAATAAGTATTCTGTTCAATTTAAAAAGAGGTTGGATCAGCGTTCTCCCACCTCAGGGATCGTTTCTAAGTAGTCGAGCTATACATACGCGCTAGTCTTCCACACTAATTACTCTCTCCATTATGTTTCTAACCATTGTCATGAGCATCCCCTGAGAATCTGATCTCAAACGATCACCTAAACATAGTCTAATACGAGAAAAATTAAATATGTCTATAGCCTGCGTTGTTATTTTTTTGTCGAACGCGAATATCAACAGACGAACAATAAAACGGACGTTTGTATACGTTTTGCTATTATAAAATCTCAGCTCTCGTCGAACGAAGGTTTGTTTGCGAACGATTGAATTTACAAAGGGTGAATACCAAGTCTTTTTCTTGGAGTTTCGAAGGCGCTGGACGTTATCGCGGATTCAACATTGTTTTTAGCTGCTCGTCGAATAGTCAGGCACGAATCCCTTAGTCAGGTAGCGTAATTTACAGGTGCGATACCGCAGGTGCGGGAGGGAACGTTTCCCTTTCTTCGCAGGAGATATTAATACGGTAGGCTCACAAAGTGCGTGGGGTGCGCTACCGGGTATCGTAAAGTCGTTTCCTCCTCTTCCTACGCCACGTTGGTGGCCTCGTCGAGAGACAACGGGGAAAAGGGATCTTTTTATGGCGGTATCGTGGCGAGAGCACAAGTTTGCGAAGGACTATGGTACCGCCCCTTTTAGCAACCTCTGCGGAAAGAATGGAATAACTAATGGCACCGGTGAGCATCATTTTACAGCGCTTTCCTGGCCAACCTGCTTTTCTACGATTTTCATCGAACACCTCTCATCGCAGAAAAATACGCGCGATTTATTTAATACTCGAAGACAAACGTGTGTAGTCTCGCACGAATTCTACGATCTCTCTTTTAGGAAATCGATGTGTGATAAAAAAAAAGAAGAGAGAGTACAGAAATAAATAAAAATTTAGCAATAACTACAGAACCTGTGAAAAATCGCGTCCCGAAAAATACGATCCCCCGCGAGGAAGAAGAGAATCCTGGATCGTTTTATAAATAGATACTGCATATTCCGCGAGGATGCCCATCAAATCGGTCTGGTCTGTCGTCTCGTGAAACGGTGAACAATTTAAAAAGTAAACCCAGCTTGTGGAACCAGTTCGTTGGCGTATTCTGCTTTCAAAAGCGTCGGGTTCGCGCGCGACTCGAAAATCGTGCATTTTCGGGCACAGTTAATTCACACCTCATAGACGTACGTTTGCCCGTCGGTTGGTGGACGGGGATAAACAAAATAGAACTCCGTAATCGGCACGAAAGCCCGACGTGCCACGGTCGCGCTACCGTTCGATGCTAATCATCATCGAAAACCGATAAATAAGACGTTTCTCTAAAAGGTGTTTGCCCTAGGCATTACCAGCGAGTAAAAGCGGATAACCGACTGCGGCCAAGTCCCGGGGATCGACGATCACCTTAAACCGAGTCCACACGTATGCCGCGGATGGTAAATCGCGGCTGCGGAACGGCAACTTTTTTCCTTTCGGTTGACGCTACCTGCCCCGCGGCGATAATACGTGATAATTGACACCTTGTACGTGTTACGTGTGTACACAGATACGTGTTCGCGTTTCAGACACGCTCACGTTTGCGCATACATTGTGAAACTGTGCTACAACTAAAAGCAGTTTCGCCACCACGGCTGGGTACCCCGTTGAGTTACATCCTTTCGCGTTTAACAATGTTCCACTCGATTCGAGGTCAAACTATCTGCCGTGTCTCGAGTATTTTCTTTAGTTTTGATCGCTCGTTCAACTCTAATTCTGCGAGGAAACGTTTTTCGAAATAATGTTTCTTTATGAGATACAATTTAGAGAGAAATAGAAGATTAATAGAATACGATAGAATGTCGGATTTCATTCGGGATTCAATTGTATGGACTATGTTTCATTTTGTAGTTTCAATCGTGGAAAATCGTTTCAAACAAAATGTTCTATTTTATTTATTGGAAATATAGTTTTTTTGAGGCAAGATTTAATTACTTTCGCTGGTAGAATAAGTTCTTTTTTTATAGCAAAGCTATTAGCCATTGGACTGAAATGAAATCTTGACCAATAATGCAATAACCTTTTGTAAGAATTTTGATCACTCTGAATTTTATCCAGCAGTATTCGGTATATTAGGTATTTATAGAATATATAGCATTAGCGTCAGAGGATATTTGGATTCGCAGTTTTTGAAACTATGTATTGAATTTTCTTTTTCGTAATAAAAGTGTGGTGCACTATATATCGACCATTTATAGAATGTGATTATATCCAGCTTCGAACTACGGTATACCTAAAAATGGTTTCATCATATTGTTTTTTGCGGTTCCAATCGCTTGCCGATTCGATTATCCCTGACGTAAAAATCAATAGAATGTTTTTTTTTTTTTACCGATCTCTCGGCATCTATTTATGATTCGCTGTTGTTCGTTAGAGATATTGCATTTCAATTACCCGCCAGACATTCGAGCAGCTCCATTATAAATGAGCATTCCGGGAGGGAAGAGACGAAAATGACGGAATTCGAAATCGAACGGAATTTGATGATCGTTCCCGCGAACATTCGTGTCGAAAACACTCGTCTTAGAAGTTGTTAACCTCGGAAAACGACGGTGCGCGTATCCCCGTTTGGAATTTAATCCATTTATACTTGTCAATATGCATATGCTGACAGCAGCATCCGAGATGATGTTTTTAAATGTGATCTACCGAAACGAATATAAAAACGGTTAAGTGAGAAAGACACTGGTCAGAAACATTTCTTTAACCGGATTATCGAAATCCCCATTAATTTCTCCTTGAGTCTGGCTCTTTTCTCAAACCTAAGTACTCACGAGGACACGTTTCCATCGATATTCGATGAATTTTTAGATCGGACGCGGAAACAAATATTAGTAAAAAGTTTGACGTCTCTTGAGTCTTAAAATTGGCAGGTGCTATGCGTTCGAAAGATATTTAGAATATTTGCCCCTTGTAAAATAATTACTATAAATAGCTGGGCCTTTACTTTTCTTTTTTTCTTTCTACTTTTCCTAATTTTATTTCGTATATTTGTATTTAGTTCTTTTCTATTTGGACAAGGAGTACCGTCTAATCTTATCTGCTGTTTATTTTTCCATTAGAATTACCTCTGTTCATTAGGTGTAATACATATTCCTTTTGTTTGGATCACTGTTTGGAATTATTATTTTTTCTCGAATAATGTATAGATCTTTTTGTCCCCATACAGAATTATTTTGGATGTTATACCTTGTTATACTTTGAACGTTGTTTTGTCTGTCCATATCATGCTTGATGAAAAAATATTATATTCATGGACTTGTCTCACCTACCATTCGTAGAATTGTATATTGTTTTCCACAGTTACCTGGCAGAAGTTTAGAGTTGGACAAATTTTATTCGCGGATAACAAATTAAAATTGTAGATGCATTCATAAACTAACACAAAACATTCTGCTTGACTAGAAAATCCTTGGACACCCCGTCTATAAATCGGACCGATTGCTCAAACGAAAGGTCGAGACGTTAGCGTTCGATAAATCGAACGACGCTCGTGAACACTAGTTTCTCCGTTTATTGTTTTACTTTTTTAGCATTTTCGAGACTACGGTCTTTCGAAACGTTTGCGCGACGGACAGAATTTCGTGGGACAAAGAATTTCACACACGCCTCGTCTTCGGACAGCTTCGAAGGTACAAGGTCTCTGGATAAGGTGAAGCGTAACTCAACCAAGACAGGTTGCATCGGGATGTTATGGTAAACATACAGCGAAAGATCTCGCACCTAGGTGCGAGACCGGGCTCGAAGTTTGCCTGCGTAAACAGACGAGAGGACGGAGTTTATGTTTCTGTCTCAAATTCCTTACATGCAGGCGCATAACCCCTTCGAGCGATAATGCACCGTAACGTTTAACGACTTCGTCAAAGAGGTACCGGGTTCCTCGATACTGTTTGCACGTCGTCTTTTTTTAGAGGGCCACGGTCCAAAAGTTTGGCAAGACGATTATCGAACCGCCCATAAGCGTCTGCGTTTGTACGCCGCGTTAATATTCGCCTCTTCTCGGATAGAAAATATTCCTCTACTAAAGATCCGTTTTGCAGCCGATACCGTCGGTCCAAATCACGCTTTAAACGCCAACACATAAAATTTTATTATCCTAGGAACACCGCTTTTAACGACTCTTCATGCTACAGAACGTCTGTCGTACTTTCAAACTGCACATCATCGAAACTATTCTTTGTATGCTCGGTCTCCCAATAACACGTAAATACAATCAGCGTACAATTAATCAATATTGTCACGTATTAAAGTTTCTTTAAAATTACTCAACCTATATTTCCTTTACCGATAGAACCGTATTATTCTTAACTGTCGAATATGAAGCACAGTAATGATTCTTTTTCGTACAGTTTTTTAAATGTCATCAAGAGGGATATAAATGTTAAATTTACGAACGTTCATTACTATAAGGGTAAGATTATCGATTAAGCAGAGATTACTGTGATTATCATAATCTGTAATGTTTCAGAAGAACGTTATCTTATAGAGCCTCAACGACTTTGTATATATTAAAGTTTAGTTGTACTAAAAGTCTACTGTGTTACAAAGTCTTTTTCCCCCACCTCGACAACATTCACACGGGTTCGATTTTTCTCTCCGTACTTTGGGAAATTATTTCGAACCTCGATAGACTCGTAATACATTTGCGACTTGTGGTCTACGAGCCAGGATTAACTTACCAAGGGAATTGAGTCCGTAACTAGCTTGATAGACGGTCTGCGACGGACTGCTGATCGGGAGACCAGAATTACCAAGACCCAAGCTCGAGCCGAGGCACCTCGTGCTTTGCTGGCCAAGTTGTCCTAAACTTTGCCCGAAACCGCCCATTTCCATGCCTCCCTGCCCCAATTGTCCGAGACCTGTAAAACAAGCGGTTTCGATTAAACGAGCGACTTTGGCCTAAACGGACGACAAGGGGGTAAAGATGGGATCGATCCAATGATACGCTCATTAATACACGAGTACCAAATCGATATCTTTTAAAGATCGAGTAACATCCGCAATAAGGTGTAGTTAGTACTATTAGACTTGTGAATTGTTCGAATAAATTTTTTAAAGGGCAGAAAAAAACTTTTATCCTAAGAGTATCTTGCGCTTTTGTAAAGTTAGGTCTTTCGACGATAATCGAGCACCCGGTCGAATCCATGTACAACTAAATGTAATTATAATAGTAAATTTGATGAGTTACAAAAATGATAAACTGCATTATTTTCAGTCTCGATGCTACCACGAGCCACGTCCATTCTCGACATACGATACAACGTATCGAACATTCGAACATTTTTGTATATATTAATCTTTCGATCGAGAATAAAAAGGCGCGGATCACGTGACAACATAAGATTTACAATTTGCATACATTCCGACATGTACCTCCAACCATAGAAGACGCAACATGGATAACGAATCTGATTGACGCCACGAAGGGGTTAATATAGTTTGATACGAGAGTACTAATTTCAAACGTAAATGTATCGACGTTACTAAAACTGGTCTCGGTCCCGTTCCTGACCAGGGGCTCGTCGATCAAGTGGCCGCGAAAAAAGGGGTAAAAAGAACCGATACGCGCGTCGTCGAACGACCGTGGAACTGATAATACGCGTGGATAATTAAAGCTGTCCCGGTCGGTGGACGCACGAAATTAAATTAGAAGCGTTCCGCTGTCGAAACTTGGTCTACGTGTTTAAGACACCGTGTCCCTCCCGTAATCGCGCGCGAAACACCGGTAATAAGATTACGTGTACGCGAAATGACGCGAGAAATTGAATATAATTAATGTAAAATCGAGCAATTTGTTACGGTTGAATAACTCGCCCGCTGTTTCGACCCTCGTTCCGAAGAGCATGATACCGCGTTTTACGAGGGCAAATTAATACGATATACTATATATACGTATATATCGCGACCTTGACGTCTTTCAGGGTACAATGAAACCTGATAAACCCTGACCAGCGACTTCCCGTCGACGGATAAACACGGGACTTTTTTCAGGGAATTCGGCTCATTGACATATGCAAATAGGGGATAGGAATCGTTGACGCCTGACCTGTTCCCATTCCCCATCTTTCAGCGGGTCCATGAAACATCCCGGCGGCGCAGAGGTCGGAGCTCATCGGGCCAAACGGAGGCAGACCGTGCGATGGCAGCAACGTGCCCGACGTCCGGAACACTGGCGCCGCCTTCTTCCGCTTCTTCCACTTCGCCCGACGATTTTGAAACCACACCTGCAAAAGTTTCGCTAGCTGAGTTCGGATTTCCTCTTGCCACGACCACTAGAATCTAGCAAGTATGGTAAGTTGGCAATTGGAACAGCACAGGGATCGGGGAAGTAAGCTGTTCGCTTCTATTTCCCACTATTGACGATCTAGAGCAGTGTTTGCCCCCCATAGGGGGGCAGAGGCATTCGAAAATAGACTCCAGTGTTTAAGTTAACCGTATGACGACTCTGAGTTGCTACTCGAGCCGGGTAAATTGAAAGATGACAATGACGTTAAAACTATACCACTAAGTAACAATACTGTTAGCAGGAAAATAGACGAAATGAGTGAAGACATTGAAATACAAGAAAATTCTCGATGCAAATGGATGAATCAACTTTGAGAGACAGTGAGGCTGTATTTATAACTTGCGTAAGATATATTGATAAAGGTGATTTTACTGAAGAAAGCATTAGAAAGCACCACTACAAATATAAAAAATCTTGTGCTGCAGATGGTACTCCTAATCTGATGGGGAAGAAATGCTTAAAATTGATGAAAGATGAGAATACAAAAATGCTTCTTGTGCATTGTGTTATTCACAGGGAAAACCTGATAGCTGAAAACATTTTATCTGTTCTAAATGAAGTACTAAATTTAGTTATAAAGTGTGTCAATGCTATTAAAGCTAATGCCAAATGTGAACGTCTGATCGTGAGACTTATCTTTCATATTGCATGAAAAGATTTATGAAACTATTTGATACTCTTAGTGATTTATTAAGCGACTAATCTGAAACGAAAAATCTGTTGACGGTCGATGGTAAGGCATTTGTGAGTTATTTATTAAATAAACAACTTCAAAGAACAAATAAAACTCTTGTCGATGCAAACACGATGATATTTGGTTTGATTACCTTTATTGAATTATATCAGACATATTTCACAATCAATAGTGCAAACATCAGAGATCACTGATCTTTTTACGAATAAATAAAAATATTAAAAGATATTAATAGAATTTTAATTTTGATAAGTTCCGGGTATCGTGACTTAATAACACAGATGGAAAAAACTCTTACCTAGATGAAAAAAAGTTTCAAATAACTATGAACGATAAATAATTCTTTATAGATAACCCGAAATTAAAAATTTCAATTACAGAATGAAATATTTCACAATGAGCAGATAAATATAAAACTGCTCGATCGAATGAACGACCCGAATGAAATACTATATTGTGTGATCTGTGTATCGATCTCATTGATTATGTATTATACGTATAAAATTTTACTCGTCTCTGGTTTATAAATATTTGTAAAAACGACCTGTTTCAGCATCACGTGTCTCCACATTTTTAGATACATATGAAAATAATAAATATTAAATTTATGATCAAACGATTTAAATTCTACGCAAATTAAAAAAAAAAGAGACAGTTTTAAATGATATTTAAAAAAATTAAAATATAATTCGAAACATCTGCGAAAGCTTCGTCTTGGTGGAAGGGGTCCACGGGAAAGTTTGAAAAATCTCGTTCGGCTATTTTTTTTTTGGCCGACGATTTTTTCACGGTCGCGTGATAGCAAATTCGGACGGAAGACGTTAAGATGTCCCTGGGCGTTACGACAATATCTTCGACCCCACGGCGAGTAGCTATTAGCCGACGTTATGAGCTGTTGATTCTGGCCACGTAGTGGCCCCCTAAGCTGCCCGGGTCCCGGGGACTTGATTTATTGATATCGCATGCAAAGCCCACCCCTGTGTTCTCCGATATATACCCTCGTCCTACATCCCTCCCCACCATTACCCTCCGCCCTGGTGCTCCGACAGGCTACAGTCCCTTTCCTGGCGCGGTAAAGCGCGCTATAGCCATCTCATATGTGCCCATAAATTAGTAGTTTAGCATTAGAGCGCGATGTGCGCTTGCGCCTTCGACGCGCGCGTAACCGCGAGAGCAACAGTGACCACGGTCGCTTCCGGGTTAGGAGCAAACGAGACGGCCGTGCAACCACGGGGGTGGAGACACCCTCTGCTAACATACAGGGATTATACGAATCTAATTGGATATATGGGATTCACAGGCTACAGTGTACTCCAGGTATTGCCGGAAAGCGATCGTCGGATTTCTCCAGCGGAGGCGGTTTATTATGAGCTACTAAGTTTCGAGAGAATGGAAAACTGCTGCCCGTTAGCCATGATGGAGTCGTCTGCGCGCTTCGGGGGTCGTTCGCCGCCACGCAAGGAACGACCAGCGAATCGACTGCGAAATCACCGGTAAAACCGTACACTATCGCCCATAAGTTTAACGCCAAAACGGCTGAAGTTTGCGTCTACCCGATACGACCGTCCGGCGTCGTTTTAATCCGCGATGTTCTTCTCGTTAATTTTCAATCCTTTCAGATTTTGTTTTGTCCACCGTTGCATTGGGTCGTTCGAACGGTTCGTTGCGTATTTTATGCAATATTCGAACTCGGTGCGTTTTTAGAAAATAAATATTATATGCCAGGCCAGGGAGTTTGTTTCAAATAAAATTACACGTCGAAGGAGAGTCACAATATTAAAAATTGGTACAAATTGTTCGTTACTTTTCATCAGTTTAGTTTTCAGTAGTTTGATCAGTTACTCTCGAGTCTAATTATTGTACAAACTGTACAAAATAGCTTCCTTTATTTATTTTCGTAACAGTGCTTGTTTTACCACTTGAATCTATTCAAAAATTTGCATTGTTCGCATTGAGATTACACTTATTGACGGTAGTACAGATCGAGACGAGTGTAAATGAAAAGTTAGATCGACGAAGTATATGAAACGTAATAATAACGTTACTCCTTGACCCGCAGGAATTTTCTGTCGTTCTAATTTTGGGGTGTCCCGTTTCATTTGGCGAAGCTTAGGAACATCTGTCGAGCCTGATGCCTCTCAAGGATGGACGTTCGTGACGAGAGAATGGCATTAGACCTGGATGGTGTTAAGTGCCTTGGGATCGAATCAGTGTCTATAGATATCACACATTGACTTCGATGCATCGTGCTAACGAATTAATACGTTAAGAAAAATTGTTTCGTATCCATCTCCTGCGAGGATCCACGACACTGTGTGTCAAGCAACACAGCAGAGTTTCTTTAATTCCTCGCTATAAATTGAAACATTCCGAATAGATCACTGGCCGTTCTTTGTCTTCGTCATCTGTTTTTTAAATAAAATTGCGACTTAGATTTCTCCGTTTAGTGCTGAAATGGAACGAATCTTTCTGCCCCCCGCGTAACAGGAAGTAGAAATATGCAGAATCTTTTCTCCCCCAGTTCGATCCCTATCGTCTCTCCCGCGATGTCAATGTTTCTTGCGGCGTTCGTGGGTGTGGTTGCACCGATTTCACGGTACAACTACGGCAGAGCTACGGCTAAAAGCCCGTGGATAATTTGCTGTTACACGCCGCGTGAGCATCGACGATGCAAGCCAGAAGAGGGAAAAAGCACAAGGGACTGTCGGAGGCATATATCGCGCATTATCACGTGCTCGCCCCTCACTCTCGCCGTGGCTGATGCAGCCTGCATGCACGTACTGCAGAACTTCCGTTAATTAACGCAGGTGAATGCTAATGACTCCTGTTACGAAATAACTGCACGCAGAACGCGAGCTTTCGTCGACTGCGCGCGATATCGGGAGTCGAGCGTCGGATCACGACCGATTTCTTCGCCCATCGTTGTTACAACGAGTTTTATTTATTTCGAAACTTCCATCCCATGCCCCCAACGATTCCCTTCATCGGGTAGTTCAAAGTTACTTAAACAAGAATATCTTGAACTCAAAATAAAAGAATTCCAAAAACTGTGATTACTAATATCTGGATAGAAGCACAAAATGTTAAGCGACAGTCGAAAGTTTTGAAGAAACTGTTGAGTATATAAATTTTTAACTAATTTTTATTTATTTAGTTGTTATACGGGGTAAAAACCTATCTTTGAAAAGAAAATATGAAATAGAATTGATATCGAGATTTATAATTTAAATATAAATTTTATGATTATCAGGTATGAATAATTTAAATCTTAAGGGAATATAGGAATCCAAGAATTGATTTTATGAACCGTTTAGAACATCCTCTTAACCCATTTATGACTAAAATAAAAATTTGTAACCTCGTGAAAAGTATAAATTCCAATATTTGGACAAGTTTTATGATAACGTAGACATAATCAATACTAATTACTTTATCCACAGAGACTCCCTGTACATACCAATGCGGTAGTGAGTCATTTTCTGAGGAAGAAAATTTTCTATGAATATTTTTTAAAAGGTATGACTCTTGGTTTCTGGAAAAATTTCCATTTTATTTTGCTACATACAGAAATATTTTAGCTCCAGCTCTAAGTTCGAACAGTGAACAGTTCTCCTAACAGAAAACAGTGAAATGGGCAATATCAGCGATCCTTTGTTCGTGGTTTTATTCAACCTGATAAACTATAATAGTATCGCGTTTCCGGTAACGATCGTCGAACGTTTGTGTAAAGCATCGGCACATCGACGAGCATCGATGATCATAGATACCTATGAAATTGTGTTAATTTAAAGTTAATTATGCATATGACGATACGACCCGCGATATGACGAGAATGGAACTATCATTCTCTATGATGACACGCGGACAAAGATGATTCGTCCGAAATGTTCCAGCGCTAATTGCATGCATGCCTGACGTGCTCGATGAATTACCGTTCATTAAATACGTATACCTTAAAAATTCCCTACTATGATCATCGAAAGACGGGCAAATTGATGGTCAGGCTCGATGCTGTTATCGACGTGATTATCAAGCGATTGTAATCTGACAGGAAAATGCAAGATTCGACTAACGAAATTCATTAACTCATTAAGTACCGATGTTCTATTCAGGGGATATTTAGAACACTTTCTATTCGCATTAAAATTCATTCGAACATCACGCGATTTTTGAAGTACAAAGCTGACACTTAAATAAAGCGAACTGTAAATTATTACAGTACATTACGAATGTAAAAATATTAT